GCTACCTTTTTGAGGGCAAATATTTTATTCTCATTTTAACTCCTTCCACTTATTTAAATTTTTATTAAGTTTCTAAATTTTAATTCCAATATAGTTAACATACAGTGTTACATTAGGTTCAGGTGTACAGTATAGTAATTCATCAAATCTATACATTACTCAGTGTTCATGATGATAAGTGTACTCTTAATCCCCATCACCTATTTCACCCATCCCCTAACCCACCTCCCTTCTGGTAACCATCAGTTTGTTCTCTATAGTTAAAAGTCTGGTTCCTTTGTTTGTCTCTCTCTCTTTTTTTCCTTTGTTCTTTTGTTTTGTTTCTTAAATTCCACATATGAGTGAAATCATATAGTATTTGTCATTCTCTGACTGACTTATTTCACTTAGCATAATAGTGCTCTTTAGCTCCATCCACGTTGTTGCAAGTGGCAAGATTTCATTCTTTTTTATGGCCAGATAATATTTCATTATATATACATACAACTCTTCTTTATCCATTCATCAATTGATGGACACTTGTGATGCTTCCATATCTTGACTATTGTAAATAATGCTGCAGTAAACACAGGGGTGCATGTATCTCTTTGAATTAGTGTTTTTGTATTTTGGGGGTAAATGCCCTGTAGTGCAATTACTGGATTGTAGGGTAGTTCTGTTTTTAACTTTTTGAGGGAACTCCATAATGTCTTCTCTAGTGGATACACCAGTTTGCATTCCCACCAACAGTGCACTACAGTTCCTTTTCATCTACATGCTTGCCAACACTTGTTTTTTTTAGCCATTCTGACAGGTGTGAGAAGTATCTCTTTATAGTTTTGATTTTTATTTCCCTCATGATGAGTGATGTTGAGCATCTTTTCATGTGTCTGTTGACCACCTGTATGTCTTCTTTGGAGAAATATATATTCATGTCATCTCATTTTTTAATTGAATTGCTGTTGTTTATTTTTTTTCTGGTGTAGAGTTATATAAGTTCTTTATATATATTGGATACTAATGCTTTATCAGATATCTGCATCATATATGCAAATATATTTTCTTATTCATTAGGATATCTTTTAATCTTGTTGGTTATTTCCAATCAGTTTTGCTGTTAAGAAGATTTTTATTTTGGGGCACCTGGGTGGCTCAGTCGTTAAGCATCTGCCCTCAGCTCAGGTTATGACCCAAGATCCTGGGATTGAGCCCCGCATCAGGCTCTGCTCAGTGGGAAGCCTGTTTCTCCCTCTCCCACTTCCCCTGCCTGTGTTCCCTCTCTCACTGTGTCTCTCTCTGTCAAATAAATAAAAAAAAAATCTAAAAAAAAATAAATAAAGAAGGTTTTTATTTTAATGTAGTCTCAATAGTTAGCTTTTACTTTCATTTTCCTTGCCTCAGGAGACAGATCTAGAAAAAATGTTGCTACAGCTGATGTTGGAGAAATTACTGCCTGTGTTCTGTTTTAGGATATTTATAGTTTCAGGTCTCACGTTTAGGTTCTTAATCCATTTTGAGTTTATTTTTGTATACAGTGTAAGAAAGTGGTCCAGTTTCATTTTTTTGTATGTTGCTGTCCAGTTTTCCCAGCACCATTTCTTGAACAAACTGTTTTTTTCCCATTGCACATTCCTGCCTCCTTTGTTGAAGATTAATTGACCATATACTTATGGGTTGATATCTGGGTTTTCTATTCTGTTTCATTGATCTACATGTCTGTTTTGTGCCAGTACCATACTGTTTTGATCACCATGCTTTGTAATATAACTCGAGGTCCAGAATTGTGATGCTTCCAGTTTGGTTTTTCTCTTTCGAGATTCCTTTGGCTATTTGGGGTCTTGTCTGGTTCCATACAAGTTTTAGAATTGTTCGTTCTGGTTGTTAGAAAGATGCTGTTGGTATTTTAACAGGGATTGCATTAAATATGTAGACTGCTTTGGGTACTATGGACAGTTTAGCATTTGTTCTTCCAGTTCATGGACATGGAATGTCTTTCCATTTCTTTGTGTTATCTTCAATTTCTTTCATCAAATGTTCTACAATTTTCAGAGTACAAGTTTTTCACCTCTTTGGTTAGGTATACTCCTAGGTATTTTATTGGTTTTGGTGTAATTGTAAATAGAATTAATTTCTCTTTCTGCTGCTTAATTATCACTTATAGAAATGCAATGGATTTTTGTACATTGATTTTGTATCCAGCAACTTTACTGAGTTCATTTATCAGTTCTAGTAGTTTTTTGGTGGAATCTTATACATATATATATATATTTTTTTTTTTCATATTCATATTATCTGCAGCATTCCCTTTTAACATTGCTTGCTTATAGGACTGGTTTGGTGGTCATGAAGTCCTTTAGTTTTTGTCTGATAAATTTTTTGTCCCTCGTTCTATTTTGAATGCTAGCATTTCTGGATAGAATATACTTGGCTGCACATTTTTCCCGTTCAGCACTTTGCATATATGCCACTCCCTTCTGGCCTGCAAAGTTTCTGCTAAAGAAAATCTGCTGATAGTCTTATGGAGTTTCCTTTGTAAGTATTGTCTTCGTTCCTCTAGCTGCTTTAATTTTTTTTAATCATTTCTTTTGCCATTTTAATTACTATGTTTCTTTGTGTGGGTCTTCTTGGTTTGATTTTATTGCAGGATCTCTGTACCTCCTAGATCTGGGTTTGTTTCCTTCCCCAGATTCAGGAAATTTCAGCGATTACTCCCTCAAATAAATTTTCTGCCCCCTTTTCTTTCTTCTTAGTGATCCCTATAATGCAAATGTTGTTATGCTTGATGGAGTCACTGAGTTCCCTAAGTCTATTCTCATTTTGCATGTTTATTTTATTTTACCTCCTCAATTTGATTGCTTTCCATTATTGTCTTCCATATTGAGAATTTGTTCTTCTCATTCCTCTAGCCTACTATTTATTCCATCTAGTGTATTTTAAAATTCATTTATTGTGTTCTTCATCTGTGATTGGTACTTTTTTTTATCTCTTTGTTAAGGATCTCACCAATGCCTCCAATCATTTCCCAAGCACAGTGACTACCTTTATGATCATTACTTTAAATTCTCTATCAGGCATATTACTTACATTCATTTCACATAGGTCTCTTGCTGTGGTTTTGTCCTGTTCTTTCATTGGGAATACATTCCTCTGTCTCCTCATTTTGTCTAACTCTCTATGTCTGTTTCTGTGTGTTAGGAAACTCAGCTGTCTCCTACTCTTGAAAGTAGTGGATAAGGCACACACTTTTAATGAGATGGTGCTGGTCCTCTTCCATAGGGTACATGCAATTGCTGTGAAGACCTGGCCTGGCCAGTGCTGCTCTGCAAAGCCCACATAGGCAGGGAGTGCAGTTTTAATAAGGAGTGTATGGAGGTGAACTGTTGCTTGGAACAAGGCCCCACAAAACACCCGGGAGACTCAGTGTTGGCAAGCATTATGCCAGTCTTCTAGGGGAGGGGACTGTAGTGCAGGCAAGTGCCTGGGGAGGGGCAGATCTGCTGATGTGGGGGGGCTTAGTGTAAGCAAGTTAGATAAGGAATGTAGACTTTGCCAGTTTCTGAAGGTGGTGAAGCATTTATGCTGAGGGGTGGGAGATGGAAATGGCAGCTCCTTTGTTTCTGGAGGAGTCTCTCAGGGAAATCTGTTTCTCTGGGACATGCTCTGAGATTAGTAAATAATTCTCCCTCCCATATGCCCTAGTCATTTTTCAAACTGCTGCTTCTATGCTGTATCTCCATAAACAATTTGTTGTGCTCTCTCTTTAAGGGCAGGGACAGAGTTTCCTGCAGCACACTGGGCTCTCCCAGAGCAAAGCCTGCTAGTTTTTAAAAGTCATGCTTGCTGTAAGAACTCAAGAAATTCAGTCCCTCTTGCTTTCAAAGCCAAATATTATGGGGATTCTTCCTCTCCATGCAGGCTCCCTGGTGTGACAGTGTATTTCTCACCCTTCTCCATGCCCCTGCTCCCTCCCAACTGCAGACAACCAGGGCCTTTTTAGCTCCCCACCTCATCTTCACCTTTCCTATCCTCTTCCACATGGCCTCTTCTCTACCTTTAGTTGTGGAGTTTCTTCTGCCTGTCTTTGGGTGGTTTTCTGTTATTTATGCTGATTTGAGTGTTACCATGGGACTAGGTGAGCTTAGGGTCCTCTATTCTGCCATCTTCCCAGAATCCTACACTTATGTAAATTTCAAACATATGAAGATTTATTTTTTTAAAGTGAAACTATATTTTTATAATAAAATATGTAAAGATTCTAAAACTTTAAGAAGGCCTTTAAAAATGTGTCAGAAACCCAGAAGGGAAAAAAAAACCTGAAGATTTGACTGAGAAAAACTTCACTGTATCAAAAGCAAACCAAACACTATAAAATCAAAGATAAAAGATAAACAATAAAGAGAAAACAAAGTGGAAGGAAATGGGACATGTGACAAATAATTTTGTAATATCCTAAGGTGCTTACTTTTAGTAATCAATAAAAACAAGTTAGAAACTACTAGAGGAATATGCACAAATAATTCTTCACAGAAGGAGGAAAAAAATAAACATATACTTTTTTCATATATATCAATATGTATATACTTTTGCAGTATTTAAAGAATCCATAGCATATGTTTTATTAATATTTTAGGAAATTCCAGTACAATCAACAAACGGAAAGGATTTTCTTGTCAATAAGCTAGTGAAACTTAGTTGTCTCATTTTTATAGCCTAGGTGGTATTTAGCCTGATGTGGCCTCTTGATATGGGGAAGGAATAAGGAGTGATAAGAATAACAGTATCCTATATGATATGCATGGAAATCTGAGAATGTCTTGGAATTTTCTAGATTTTATATATGAGATATTCAAAATATAATTTTTTTAAAAGATTTTATTTATTTATTTGACAGACAGAGATCACAAGCAGGCAGAGAGAGAGGAGGAAGCAAGCTCACCGCTGAGCAGAGAGCCCGATGTGGGGCTTGATCCCAGAACTCTGGGATCATGACCTGAGTTGAAGGCAGAGGCTTTAACCCACTGAGCCACCCAGGTGCCCCCAAAATATAATTTTTTAAATACATTTTCATGATTAATATTTATGCCTCAACCACTATGAAACTCAGACTATTATTAAAAAGAACTTTTCCCTCCTTCTTTACACTGAACTCAGACTCTTGCAGATCTTTCATAATTTCTGCTTTGAGATCAGGTGGTGCTGCTGTATTAAAGTTGCAGGTTTCTGTCAAAAAATCACAAAGCAGTTCTCCATTTTCATTGCCATCAATAAAACAATCAGATATGTCCATGGTGGACAGAAGGTCATAACACTCATACTTAATCCCCAGTTTATCCAGCATCTGAGTGAGGTCAGACGATGTGACATACTGACAGAGGTCATCCTGAGGTAAGCGGGATCCATATTTTTTCCACAGCTTGTTCCAGCCACTGATTCCTGTGTGATAAAACAAAGCTCATGCTTTTACTTATTCTTCTTTTCATTTCCCTTCTCTGTCAGGAAGTATACTACATGCTTAGAATAAAGTAGCCAATAAATAAATATTCTTGCCTTTGGGTAGCTTAATTTAAGAGGTACACAGAAGGGGGAAAGAAAGCTAAATATACAAGTAAATAAATCACATATCAGATTGTGCTAAGTACTAATGAAAAACAAATCAGAACAAGGGATAAGGAGGGTCAAAGAGTTGGATGGGTTGCTGTTAATATACGGTGGTCACAGAAACTCTCGATAATAATGTAACATTTGAGCAGAGATATGTGAACAAGCCATGTAGATATGATAGGGAAGATTACCTTAGGTAGATAAAAGAGCAACTACAAAGGACCTGAGGCGAGAGCATGCTTGTCATGTTAAGAACTGGCCAGGAAACCAGTGAGATCTGAAATCAGTGAGCAAAGGGGAAAGTAGAAGATAGGGTTGGATGAGTGGTGGAGGGAGTGGGTAGGATACCATATCACATGGAGTGAGATGGGAAGTCACTGTAGTGTTATCTGAAAGAATTTTCTGGAACATATTCTGTATCTGCATTGTCTAATATGGTAGCCACTAACCATCTGTGGCTAAGGAACATTTGAACTGTGGCTAGTATGACCAAGGAAATGAATTTTAAGTTTTACTTCACTGCAATTCATTTACATATCAATTTCAGTAGTCAAATGTGGCTTTTATATTGAGCAATACAACATTAGAGTGACTTAACCTGATTTATATTTTAATAAGGTTAATTAGTCACACAGATGAGAATAGACTGTAGGGCCATAAGGGTGGAAACAGGGAGAACAGTAAGGAGGTTATGACAATAATCTGGGTGACAGATGATGGTAAATTGGAGTAGCTAGCTTTTGGAAGTGATGAGAAGTGGTTGGATTTCTTTTATATTATGCTCATAGATACAGTGAGATTTGCCAACAATTTGGATTTTGGATATGAGTGAAAACAGATAATTAAGTGAATTATCAATGATTTTGGCCCAAGCACCTGAAAAGAGAGAATTGCCATTGTGGGAAATGGGAAGAATGAGGGAGGAACAGTTTTAAATGTATCATCAGGTGTCAAGTTTTGTCCCCAGCTTTAGAAGATGTTTTAGCAATGTCTAGTGTGTTTAATGGATAAACTGGCCCAGTGTAGAAGCTAAGAGATGCAGCCTCTGAGGGAGAGAGACACAAGTTGGAATGTACTTCTGACACTTCATGAATAAGATGAGATTTGTTTTTCAGTCTCTGAGAACCTCAGTTTTCTGATCCATAAAATGGGGATAATCGTACATACCTCAAATGCAACTGCAAGTACTAAATGAGATAATTTAACTGAATTGTTGTACAATGCTAAGTGCATAGCAGATGGGTAATAAGTACTCACAAAATAAGTGAACATTATATGGAGTTGGTTTGATAATGTATTTTCACTGGTTGTAATCTTGAGACTATGAAAAAGCAAACTTGCTGTTTGGAAATCTATAATACTAATACCTCAACAGAAATAAGCATCTATTTGTGGACCCTCTAATACCTGCATATAATAATGGGATGTCACATACCCAATTAATATTTATCAATTGATACAATGTAATAGAGGGCCACTAAAGCCAACTGCCCAAGTATGAAGGCTGGCTTTTCCTCTGACTAGCTTTATGAAGCTTCCCCTCAGTTTTATCACCTGCAAAACAGGGATAAATACAGAATTTATAGCATAGAATTGGGGTAAGAAAAAGTAAAGGAACTAAGAACCATGACTGGCAAACAAAGTAAACAAACATTGTTCAAGTATTAGGAAATTAAATTGGACTTGGCAAAGCAATGTTAGAGAGAACCTGTATTCCAGGATTAATAGTGAAGATTTCAAAGGTTTGAGGTTTTTGGGTTTCCAAACCTCTTTTACGGTCTAATGAAGTAATTGACTCTCCAGCATAATACACAAACAATAAATACCCATATAGTTATGCATATAATTATTGGATGTTCAAAGAGCCCTGGCCCTCATCCATAGATTGGGCTAAAGTCTCCTGATTGAACTCAACAAAAGGGACTAACTGAGGAGAAAAAGGTAAAATTTAAATAGCTTAGATAACTGACATTCAACTAATATTTCAGAAGAGGGAGTAATAACCGCAGGGTACGCTCCAGAGGGTAAAATTGGAATGAAGCAGAAAAAAACAAAACCTCAGTCTAATGGGAAAAAAAAAATAGGGTCATGAGTCTATATTAAAAAATCTTTTATTACACAGACAGTGATTATCTGCCCAAATAAGAATATGCCTACAAATAAGACTTTATGAGAAAATAAATATTTCAATGGTTGAAAAGAGGTTCTATTATCATTATTATTTTTATTTTTAACCTGACAGAGAAAAAAAAAATAACCAAACACTGATTGCAGAAATTTTACTGGTGTCAGTGTTGTGTGACTTGGTGCCATTTCTAAGCTGAGCAATTATACACTTTCTAACTGATGCATTATCATAATGGCTCTCGGTGGGCACAACATATGGTGTTACTTTTGTTTCCAACATGATATAAACCAGATTTTTTTCTCATTGTATTAAAAATAACACACCAGGGGCGCCTGGGTGGCTCAGTGGGTTAAGCCGCTGCCTTCGGCTCAGGTCATGATCCCAGGTCCTGGGTTCAAGCCCCACATCGGGCTTTCTGCTCAGCAGGGAGCCTGCTTCCTCCTCTCTCTCTGCCTGCCTCTCTGCCTACTTGTGATTTCTCTCTGTCAAATAAATAAATAAAATCTTAAAAAAAAAATAACACACCATGATTTGCCTCCTTCCTTAGTCAGGTAAGGAGAGGGATGCACAAAAAAGTGGTGTCTCCTTCTGGCAAAACCCCCCTAACCAGAGAGGTTACATTTTAACTAGCAACTCTCAAAACTAATGCCTGGCTACTACATTTGGGGAAAGACATGCTACTACTGATGTTATTTTAGTGTGAGACACTCATTTAAAAAATCCACCTCTTTTGTCCTTATTTCTCTTCCTTTTCATCCCCAAATCAAATCTTTTATCTTTATATAATCAAGAACTTCTCCTTGTTATAATTAAATGAATATTTACTGAGCTGGGCTAGTTCTGTAACTGATACTTAAAACACAGAGAAAAGTCTCTCTTCCCTCAAGCAACATGTATTCTAACAGTAAATGCTGTCATTTAATTCTGATTTCAATTTCTTTTTCTTTTCCTAATGAGTTTCATTTGCCTACCCTTCATAGCTTTTCTCTGTCTATTTCAGCGTGGGTTTTGAGCATGTGTGTGTGTCTCTGTGAATGTTAATCTTCTTTATTGAGTCTTTTACTCCTGTTTATTAAACCTTTCTTCAAATCTCCAGAACTTTCTATGTTCTCTGATTCCATGTCCATCATGTAGTACGTTTTAGCCAAAATACGCTCTCTCTTTTTTTTTTAATAAGATTTTATTTATTTATTTGAGAGAGAGACAGTGAGAGAGAGCATGAGCGAGGAGAAGGGCAGACAGAGAAGCAGACTCCCCATGGAGCCGGGAGCCCTATGCAGGATTCGATCCCGGGATTCTGGGATCATGACCCGAGCCGAAGGCAGTCGTCCAACCAACAGAGCCACCCAGGCATCCCAAAATATGCTCTCTTTTTTTAGACACATTCAGAACTAGTAGTTTAGAATGCTATATGCCCCATATACCTCTGATAAGAAACTTAACACACTGTTCCAAGTGTTTACATATCTCAGTCCTCCACTACATAAGAGCTGCTCCAAAGCAGTAGAAAAGTAATGGAGATAGGAAATCAAAAATTGAACTGGGAGCAGAAATTTGGGGCAAACAGTGGTGGGCAACCATCAGGAGCATGTAAGCATGACTCCCAGGATCCTCAGCAGTCACGGAGCAAGGGATGAATGACTCAAGTTACTTGAGATAAGGGATCCCATCATTTTTCCTGGATTTGTAAGAGTTATGAGTGATCCCTTACGACTGGGGAATCTGGAGACATTCACTTTATACTAAATTGATGAGAATTCCAGTATATTGACAATTTTATTTACCTTTTCCTTTACTGAGAAGGAAACTATACTGAACAAGGTGGCTTATTTTTTATTACATATATTTAATTAATTTCTTTCCTTAATAACTCTTCTGATAGAGGCAATAAAGCTGTAACTTTTAGCCTTAGGAGAGAATTGGAAAGTCCAAAATAAAATGCCTAAATTTATCTTCTCCTTTTGTTAAGTGGTTCTTTAAGAAAAAATGTACGTATGATATTTTTCTTGTAGCTGCACAACTCTCTTCTAAGAAAAGTGCATGTGATGAAGGCAAGGGGTCACTGGAGTCCCTTTAATCATTGGACATTTGTTATTTGTTCTATTCTTATGTGTAGGAACAATGTCTATGAGTAGTGTTGTCCTCTTTGGGATACCTGTCTCCCATGCTGAATACAGTAATGAAGAGGGTTTTTTTAACTGCATACAGAAAAAGTTAGCAAAATATTTCCACCATCAAACTACCTTGACTAAGTAATTTCGACTCAAAATACTTTTTAAGAAAAAGCTAACTGATATTTGAGTCTTTACTACATTTCTTTGATTTTTTACCTGTGAATGTATATATATAGAGTACATATGAAACATATATATGCATAGATGCAATATAATATAGGTATGATTATCTAGAAATAGCCCTTGAATAAACTAAGACTCGCAGACCACATTCACACAGCTAGGAAATGCCTCGGCATTCTTGTTGCATGTATCATCATATATTTCACTGCACCTGTTTTGGTCTGAACATTTCTTGATGCCAATATACCATGGGTTGTATTAGTGTAATTCAAGAGATAGCTAGCAGAATACTGTATTCATAAGGGCACTTAGCCAGTTCTCAGTTGTTTGTATAGACTACTCATGTCACTTTCTAAATCTTAGGCTGGCTTTTTCCTCTTGGTAGAAATATAGAAAACTGCTTTCTGACACTGAAATACTTAACTTCTGAAATATTTAAGAATAAACCAAATATAAATAAGAGTGGATCTTCTATTTATATGAAATACATCCTAAAATCTGGATGAATTATTATTTCTATTAGTAATGCTTTTCTTTATTATTGATACAGATTATCAAGAATAGACTGCCCTGATTAGTCACAACTAAGTTTTCTTTTGTATTCCTAAATGTAGTATAATGGTTTTACCCAAGTGTCTTAATTTAGATGGAGGTTAATAAGAAGTATCCAGTTTACATGAGCCCTTCTAAATGGGAAGATAGAACTCTCCCACATAAATGAGTTTTTAATTAACCAGAGATAAAAATAGTATATCAAAGTGTTCTTTAGGGAAGAGGTTGTATGCAGGAACTCTCATATGCAAAACTCCCACATGAGTTCAAACCTAGAATTACAGGCAACAACCCTGTTTGCCATTCTTAAAGTCATTCCTCATATTTAAGAACTGATGAATTTTGTGACATATGGTTTTGAGTATGAGGTCTGGTATAAACTTAGGAAGACAGAGATTGTTGTATATCTAGAATCAATTGGCCTAGCACTGTGTATACAATCCATGAAGATTACTAAATGAAAGAAGTAATGAATTAATGAACTCAAGAATGTCAGTGTCTCATTTATTAACATGTTTACTTCTCTATGTGGTACTTATTATATACTGGAAGCAACATGACATGATCAAATGCCCTCTTTTGAAAATAAGACAGTAATACAAAACAAGTGAACAATTTTTGGTAGTTATTTGAGAAAATCTACATTGAACAATATTGATAGGCTCTAGAAATGTAAATTAATCAAATATGAAGGTATCCCAAATATTTAAACCTTTATTTATGTATTAATAAACATCACAGAAGGGAAAGAAACATTCAAGAAACAAAAAGGAGGGGCACCTGGGTGGCTCGGTGAGTTAAAGCCTCTGCTTTCGGCTCAGGTCCTGGTTCCAGGGTTCTGGGATCAAGCCCCACATCAGGCTCTCTGCCCGGCAGGGAGCCTGCTTCCCCCCCTCTCTCTGCCTGCCTCTCTGCCTACTTGTGATTTCTCTCTGTCAAATAAATAAAATCTTTAAAAAAAAAAAACAAAGAAAAAGGAGATAAACAGAAATATTCGCTATTTTTGGCCTCGTTAAAAAAATTCGTATTAGTGGTATTTGCTCTATATTGTATAAAAAAGAATTTATATAGAGACAATAAAGACAAATTTTACCAAGGGAAAGGAGTAAATAGATATTTAATTCCACTGGACCCCCTAAATTGATAGCTGTTGTGAAGGACTTTCCTAACACTGTGTTAATTAATTGACTGTGCTTAGAAGCCAAGTCAAGAATTTCATAATGAAGACAAAATATTGCAGCTGCCTTCAAACACATATATCCAAGCACATAGGCACTATTACTGTTTTAAAATTCAGGGTGAATGTAAATAATTTACCTGACACAAGAATAATCAGCATCTTAGCATTGGTAGCTAAGAGACTGTGGAAGAATTTCAGGGTAGCTGGGATATCTTTTACATAATACAGCATCTAGAAACGAAAGAAAAGAGAAATTAGACACTTTTCTATGTCAATTTCTTTGTTACTTGGGTTAGATATTCTTTAGAAAGGTTGATTTTCAAGTTGAGAGGGTTTTTTTTTTTCATTTTATTTTATTTCTTTTCAGTGTTCCAGAATTCATTGTTTATGCACCACACCCAGTACCCTATGCAGTACGTGCCCTCCTTAATACCCACCACCAGGACCCCCTCCCCTCCAAAACCCTCAGTTTGTTTCTCAGAGTCCACTGTCTCTCATGATCTGTCTCCTCCTCCGATTTCCCCCAACTCACTTCTCTTCTCTTATCTCCCAATGTCCTCTGTGTTATTCCTTATGCTCCATAAGTAAGTGAAACCATATGATAACTGACTCTCTCTGCTTGACTTATTTCACTCAGCATAATCTCTTCCAGTCCCGTCCATGTTGATACAAAAGTTGGGTATTCATCCTTTCTGATGGAGGCATAATACTCCATTGTATATATGGACCATATCTTCTTTATCCACTCATCTGTTGAAGGGCATCTTGGCTCTTTCCACAGTTTGGTGACTGCGGCCATTGCTGCTATGAACACTGGGGTACAGACGGCCCTTCTTTTCACTACATCAGTATCTTTGGGGTAAATACCCAGTAATACAAATACAGGATCATAGGGAACCTCTATTTTTAATTTCTTAAGGAATCTCCACACTATTTTCCAAAGTGGCTGAACCAACTTGCATTCCCATCAGCAGTGTGAGGGCTCCCCTTTCTCCACATCCTCTCCAACACATGTTGTTTACTGTCTTAATTTTGGCCATTTTAACTGGTGTAAGGTGGTATCTCAATGTGGTTTTGATTTTAATCTCCCTGATTGCTAATGAGAGTTTTACTCAACAAAACACTTTAAGAAGAAGATATTCACAAATGACAATATAAAGGGCTGATATCCAAGATCTATAAAGAACTCCTCAAACTCAACACACACAAAATAGATAATCTTTTCAAAAAATGGGCAGAAGACATGAACAGACACTTCTCTAAAGAAGCCATGCAAATGGCTAACAGACACATGAAAAAATGTTCACCATCATTAGCCATCAGAGAGATTAAAATCAAAACCACATTAAGTGGTTCCCAACTTACACCAGTTAGAATGGCCAAAATTAACAAGACTATGGTATTTGTTCAATTACAGCCAAACAGTTTTAAATTTACTCTTTCTGGTTTAAATAACAGAGACATTTATAGCTGGAGATACTTCGTCTCTACTCCACATTGGGACATTGATTCTATGCTTGCTCTATATTTTGTGAATTATAGTTCTGGGAGAAGATGGTGCTGGCACCATAAAAACAGACCCCATTTCATGGAACTCTGCTTTAAAATTAAGCCCTTTGCACTAGCTTTACCATATGCTCACAGATGCTTTTTATAAATCACAGAAAATATGGCAGTCTCTGATACTGACAGATTCTCTAGGAAAACGGACTGAATAAAGCATGAGGTTACATGCCTGGTCACAGGGTGCTGACGGTCAACTCACCCCTTTTTTAATAAATCTGGACCATTCTCTGATGAAATGCAGGAAGAGGTCTTTCCACTCAACAAGGTAGAGCCTAGAATTATACACTGGCAGGGGAAAATTTTCCTCAAAGGCTTCCTTTGCTTCCCTGGAATCTACCCCCACAGATACTTACTTCTTATATCTCATCTCCATCTCTCTTGGGCAAGAGTTTAATTTCTATGTAGATGCCTATGATAGAATTTATTACATTAAGCAAACACAACTTAAACATTGCCCCTCTCACATGAATGAATGAAATAAAATGATGGGGCGCCTGGGTGGCTCAGTGGGTTAAGCCTCTGCCTTCAGTTCTGGTCATGGTCCCAGGGTTCTGGGATCAAGCCCCGCATCGGGCTCTCTGCTCAGCGGGGAGCCTGCTTCCCCTTCTCTCTCTGCCTGCTTCTCTGCCTACTTGTGATATCTCCCTCTCTCTCTGTCAAATAAATAAATAAAATCTTAAAAAAAAAAAAGAAATAAAATGGAGCTGCACATGGCCTATGCTGCTTTGGGGCCATATTTAGTATCATGTCATTCCATGCTGTTCATGACAGGGATAGATACCCAGATACATATCCATAAAACAGCTAACAGTCTATGATGTAACCTGGCTAAAAAGAGGAGGTGGGCCATAACAGATGCTCTGAAATTTGATGTAATAGATACTGAGATTCTCTGAAGTTGACTGTGAATATTAAGCTGAAAGAATGTCATCAGAGTGTTAAGACTATAAGGAACAATGAAGAGACAAAGACATAACACGGGGAAAATGTGAGCTAGACAGGGAGGAAGGTAGAGAAATAGAACAGTAATGCAGAGGAAGTAGTGTTGCTCTAAGAAAGAAGGAAGATGCATGGAAATTTTGAGAGAAATAGGAGAATGATCTCTGAATCTGCAACATTTTATAACAGGTAAAGAATGGGATCCAGAGCATAAGTGAAGGTACTGGTTTTTGATAAAAGGAGGCCCTTGTAATAAGATGAAAGACAGAGATGGTGGGTACAGATGCAGCTGTGTTTATAAATTTGGAGGGTGAAAGATGACTTTCCATTGGATGATTTCTCTTTTTGCTATACAGTATGAAGTAAGGTCATCAGCTGGGAATGAGTGATGGTGAAGGGGTTACAGGAAGTATAAGGAGAGAGAGGGATGTATGAAATAGTTATATGGGGAGGGGGGAAATTAAGTCTAATAGAGAAACATTGTAGGCTTGATGGGCAATTTAAGTACTCCCTTATAGGTAAATGATTTTGTCAGCTAGGAGAAAAGAGGTGTAGTATTGCTTGGATATACCAATGTTAGAGTCATTTCTTCCTTTGATTTCTTAAAGGTTTATTCCTTTGGGATGACTGTACTTGTGGACTACAGAAAGATGTCGCTTACTGTTACATTGGTATTTCTAAAATATAAATCTTCTAATGGTAGACAATGTCCAAAGTCTATACATCCATATGCTATCCAGAAATATCAGTGATTCTCATAAATCCATCCCCATAACATCTAATGAATGGTCACCCCCTTTCCAAGAAACCCTTTAGTATATTTCTAAGAAATATACTATCAGTGTTGGATCATAGAAATATATTCCTACTGAATGACTGACATAAGTAAACTTTATCAACCTAAGAATGAGCTAACCTTCCCCTTCTGTCACATGCACAATAACCAGGTCATTAAAGAAGGGAAAGGAAAGGATTCAGAAAAACTCTGGACATCAGTCCATCCAGACCATTAGAGCTGTGCTGAAATATGTCACACTCTACTCTCCTCAAAACTATCTATGAACTTCCAATCCTACAAAAATTAATTAAGCCAACACTGAAAAAAAAATCAGTAACAGAAGGTGTGGAGTATAAAAAAACCTGGCTTTTTGAATGTTACAGAGAATCTCTCAGTCCTAGAAACATCTTTATCCTCAATTTGGATGGATAATGTTCACTTGTAAAATCAGAAATCAGATTTTCATTTTTCTTCCTAAAGGTAGACTATTAGGTATTCTTCACACATATTTCTAAAAAAAAAAAAAAAAAAGTCTCCTGAGAATATATAACAATAAATATTTCTTACCTGAATCATATGAATAAAGTCCCATTTCTGAAATTCTTTTTTCTCCATGATTCTATTTTGATATTCAGAAGATGTCTCCTTATGCCAAGCAAACTTTATGTTCTCAAGGTTTGATGTCTTGGCTACAAGCTCTAAAATACAGAAAAGAGATGGCACACCATCAATTTTAATTGCAAATGTAGAATCCATTTCCATTTCGAATTTTAATGCAATCAATGTTATATACATAACAGATATAAAGCACATTTTTCTTTTTTATGTAGCTCTGGAAGACCAGAGAGTTCATCCTGAATTTTTTCTAGTATTAAATGAAATTAGGGATGAAAGAAAGAGTCAATAAGAAATAATTATGAGAACGCTGATCAGATATTGGTTGCATTTTATCAGTATTAATGGGAAATCAACTGGTGAATTTTATCAGTGGAAAATAAATGATATGTTTCTGTAACCCAGGAGTCAGCAGACCATGGCCTATGGACCATATCTGGCTCACTATCTATTTCTAGACTGCAAACTAAAAACATATACTATTGCACTTTCTGACTTTATGCCTGTTTTGCATATCTCATGCTGTTAGATTTTTAAACGGTTGAAGGAAAAATCAAAAGAATAATATTTCATGAAATGTGAAAATGATATAAAAATCAAACTTTAGTGTTTATAAATAAAGTTTTATTGGAACATATGAACACTCAGTTTGTCAGCATCATCTGTGACTGCCTTGGTGCTACAGTAGGAGAGTTGACTAATTGTGAGAAAGATCACGTGGCCTAAAAATATTTAGAGTGTGTATATGTGTATTTTTTCAGAGAGGTTTGCTGACTCCTGCTATATATAATCCATTAAACACAAACCGTTTAAGAGCAAGGATTCTGTTTAAATATTTCTGAATGAATTAATGACTCTGTCTCTAAGAATAAACATCAAAAATAGTAGTTGATCACCAGGGAATAGAAGAATCAGTACAAAAAGAAATCTAATTATTCATTGTTCATATTTCTGAGGTGTTAGTCATGTCTTCCAAGAAAACAAATTAAATATGTTCTTTTCCCAATAAGCTTACAAAGAACATACCACAGTAACTATGTTGTTCATGAGTGAGGGGACAAATTTGGAATGATAAGCCTTTCAGGATAGGATTTGACATAGAGCACCATAAGTTACAGATACCTTTGTACTTGGCAATTTGCTCAACACTTGGCTCAACAACTTCATTGTTGATATGAATTCCTGGATGTTGAATCTGCACTTTGGAAAGGATCTGAAGATCAATTTCACCTAGAAGACAAGCATATGGAACATATAATGTAAGTCCAGTAAGAAATGATGAAGATAAATCTGATGTAGTGTATTATCTGTCTTACTTGTACTAGGAAAACCCAACATAAATAAAGAATAATGTTCAACTGTGGCCCTGCCACATTGTCTGATGCAGAACAGCTAGGTTATAAGTAGGAATAATAATACGACTTAAGGAGGGCTATGATTGTTATTCCTTCTTTCATACATATAACTTTTATTTATTATCTATTACCACATTTTTTTACTAAAGATTTTATTTATTTATTTGACAGAGAGGGATCACAAGTAGGCAGAGAGGCAGGCAGAGGGGTGGGGGGAAAGCAGGCTCCCTGCTGAGCGAGAGCCTGATGTGGGACTCGATCCTAGGATGCTGAGATCATGACCCAAGCCAAAGGTAGAAGCTTAACCCACTGAGCCACCCAGGTGCCCTGTTACCATATTATGTTAAATCTAAGATGCCATTGATTATAGGACTCAGTCAACTCTTCTTTTTGTGTCACTAGATTAGAAAAACACTTCTGAAAGATGTATCCCAAATTCAGAGATGTTAAATATATTTTTTTAAATGCACCTGAGAATTGATAAACTAGGCCACACCAGAACCATATAAAAATATGTCAGAAGAAAAATATGTTAGGCATAAAAAAAAGATACAAAAAGACATCAGACATCCACTTTGAAATACACCATGGTCTAGTGGAAGACACAGGCATGAAAGGAACCCTGTCGGGTTGAGCCATGGTGGGAAAAGGAAAGGAGATGGTGAGGAAAAGGATAGGAGGAGAGGTGAGAGAAGTGGAAAGCCTTATGGAGGGAGACCATTCTTGAGCTCTGTGTTACTAGGTAAAGGGAAGTTAGCTCAGAGACTTCTGGGAGAATGAGGAATTGCAGGTAGACAGGACAGCAAGATAGAGACATAAAGTCAGGGAACAGAATGGTATATATGGACTACTGGCACTCAGAATTTTGGAATATTAAGTAAGTCAGGACCTTCTAGGAAAACTTGAGTCCAGTAGGTAAAATGGAAAGGAGGTTATGGCAAAATAGATATATATTCATTAATCCTTGCACAAACAATTAATTGCGTACTGTGTGTCCAGCGCTGTACTAGGTTCTAGCAAATAATGATAGGAAGAACACAGAGATACCTGTCCTGTTGAAAATTCAGCCTGTAAATGATTGAGTGAGAGAGATGGTGATGTTTGATGGATCTGAGTTCCAAATCTGTCTTCTCCACTTACTAGGTGTATATAACTTTCAGGAATTTGTTTTACCTCTCCAAGCTGTACTTTCCTCATCAGAAAAATAGCAATAATGATAGTACATAATTTATTAATTGTGAAGGTTCAGTGAGGCAATGCATATAAAACTCAGTGTAAAATAGACACCCAATAAACAGTAGCTGTTCATTAGTTTTATTGTTATCATTGAGTGCCTCTCTTTGAAAATATCTCCTCTGTCCCTATTGCTGATGCCTCCAACTTAAGTTCTGCACTTTCATTATTTAAGGTTATGATGTTGACCTTTACTAAAATAGACCTATGTGCTGGTAAGACTAGCCTATGAAAATGATGTTAGTTTTCAACATTTTGGTATATATGACATTAACAGAACCTCTACAAGGATAGATATGGTAGGCAAAAAAAGCATAACTTATAAGACTAGGAGGTCTGGAAGAAAGGAAATGAGGAAGATAAATCAGGAACAAAAGATGCTAGACTAGGAAAAAGGGCAGTCACACAGCACCATGAGAGCCCCAAGTACTGGCAGAAGGAGTTGGTGGGGATGGGGAGGGGAAGGAGTGGTAAGGAAGCTGAAATGGAGGATAAAGGAGCCTATGTGACAATCTTATGGCCTCACCAACATGACACCTTTTATACTTTCTGTAGTGACTCTAGCTGCCACTTATTGGCCACCTACTATTTGTCAATCATTGTGTTTGGCACTTTACTTGGATCATCTCACTTAATCCTGACCACAAAGTTATCACAAATTCCCACAGTATTATTCCCATTCAGATAAGGTGATTAAAGTAATTTGACACTACTAATATGCCTGAAGTTTAAGGCACATTTTTCTGATTCTAAAGTGGTTGTTCTTCTAACCACTTCATACTGAGAAATAGGAAGATACCAAATACTAGAAAGGCATAAGAAGGGTTTTTTTTTTTCCCCTTTTTTCCAGTAACTATTTTTGAATGATAAAAAAAATAATAATTACTAGGGCAAAAGGCTGAGAAGAAAAGTTGTGGACTAATGAGAAACAGATTACAGCTTGTCCCAAAGGACCGGAGGCCAAAAATTCTATTTTTTCTTCTATCAACCTAGATATATACATTTTAAGACAAAGAGCACATGAGCAGGGAGGGGAGGGACAAGAAGAGAGGGAAACAGCGAATGTTAAGTAGGCTCCATACCCAGCTGACAGCCTGATCTGGCACTTGAATTTGCAACCTTGGGACCATGACCAAGAGTCAGACACTTAACCAACTGAGGCACCCGGGCATTCCCAACCTAGTCATATATTTTAAACAGAAAAAAGTAATCATTAAACAGAAAAAAGTAATTTGAAGATCCCAAATCCAACATTTTAGAACTCAGAAGATGGTAGTAATTTTCCCCTTAGGGCTTTATTAGCTCTTCTCCTAAGATGGACCCCAACATTTTTGGTCTACCTAAATGGCAGGATGTATTTAGAACATCCCCAGGGTATATTCTTATATTGTTATTTTCCCAAGCAGCAGAATGTTCTACCACAGTCAGAGCCAGCCAGTCCCTCTTTTTAGGGCAATGATGGAGGGCACAATATTAGAATAGCACCTGAGACAAAGAAACCATGGGTTTACCTAACAACATCTGGACTGTGAGTCTATGTGTGGCCATAAAGTGTCTGTGAATTTTCTGCTGGACCCCTAGTAGAAATGAATGAGCAAAAAAAGGAGATAATGAAACTCTTTCATCAGGAATTAGCACATAGAATCCGTTTCTGTCTTCATGAGTTGAGTAACCACATTTCCTCTTTGCCAGGGGTAGTTCTACTTTTTGCTTGTTGTGCTGGTGTCCCATCTGGTTTTATTCTTGTCCTAAGTTGTTGGGTTTTTTTTTTTTTTAATTTTTGACCAAATATCATTATTATTATCATTTTATTTTTACAAACAGTTTTTAATAACTATTTTATAAATTGACCAACATAATAAAAACCTTTTGATAAATATTTTAATTATAATAATTTTAATTCTTTACCCACTCCCTACAACTCTCATGCTTTAAAAAAAAAAAAGATTTATTTATTTTAGGGAAGGGGGCACAGAGGGAAAGGGAGAGAGAGAATTCTCAAGCAGACTCCCCACTAAGTGTAGAGCCTGATGCGGGGCTTGATCCCCGGACCCTGAGATCATGACCTGAGCCAAAATTGAAAGACTGATGTTCAACTCCTTATCCATCCAGATGCCCCCACAGCTCTCACTCTTAAAAGTATGCTGATGAGACACTTATTCTCTGGGCTATGTCTATTATTTATAATGGACTGTATTATTTCTTATTATAATAGATTATATAGATAGATGATAGATAGATAGACAGACAGACAGATAGTTGTAGAGATCACCAAAAATATAATACATTCCTTGTTCTCATACCCTACATAGTTGGCTTCCTAATATCTCTCTCAGAAATAGGAGACCTGTGTTTAAAAAAAAGACTAATGTGAACATCTTCCTCAACAAAAAGAGAGTAATAAAGAGGTAGTTCAGATGTTCTATAGTATTATGTCCTATAGTCTGTCTTAACATTTAATTATAAATGCCTTAGCATTTAGTTATAAATATATGTCTTAGCATTTAGTTATAAATATATTTATATATAAATAAGACATATAAAAATATGTCTTAGCATTTAGTTATAAATATATTTTTTAATACATTACCTATGTTGTTCACTATCCATCCCGTCTCCCAAGATTTGCTCCTTCCTTCTTTCTCCTTCTTAGCCGTGTGTAAATTTCCTGCTAAATGTTTCTTTAATTTTTCCCATTCCTATTAGCAATCCTTGTTCAGTCCCAATTATCTGTGTCTTGGAATTCTGCAAAAATATCCTAAAATTTCACCCTATCTCTGCTGAACTTTCTGTCCCCCAAAGCCATCACTGTTACAACAATCATTCGAAACTCTAAGCTAAGCAAGCCCGTCACTTCCCTGCTTAAAACCTTCTGACTAATCAACTAGATGAAGTCCAAGCTCTTAAACTGAGCATAGACCACCCTGCCTGCTTCCTAATCTCATCTCTCACAGCTTCATGTTTTGAAACTTTTGGCTCCAGGAACCTTGAATTTCTTGCATTTTTACCCTTCTTTCTCCCCCGCTGCCCTCCACATACACCATGCTCTTCTGTGCTTTTTGTCTTCTGCCAGGAATCCTTTCCCCTCATTTCCTTACATCATCTAACTCCAACACATCTTGAACTCTTCTACACATGACTAATTACCTTGGAAATCTTTCCCACAGAGCCTGGAAATAGCATCAAAATCCTTCAGACAGAAATGACCCATCAATTGACTGGAGTTGGCAACACAGACAAAACCTTGTGTTCTCTGATAAAATTATTGATTTACTTCACTTACTTTATTCACTAGAAAAGACTTGATTTCAATGAGTTTGTTAGAAAGTATCAAGGACTCTAAAATGCTAGATTGAATGACTGAGCAGGTTTGATCATCAATCACTGTAAAGCATGTGAGGGGTTATTTGAACTGTAGTACCACAAGCCAGCAATAAGAGATTCAAACAAACAAACAAAAACAAAAACAAATCAAAGAAAAAAAAAAAAAAGGAAGGGGATCATTTTTTCTTTCTCAACTGAATCCTCCTGAGTAGGAGCCCTAACATTATGAATGTGTTCCACTATCAGACATTAAGCATACTAGAAATGCTTTTCAGAGAGCACATAAGCCAAACTAACATGCCAAAAGAATGGGAGAAA